CTCAACAAAGATATGCAAGGTCCATTGATTCAATCCAGCAGTGTTTCTGCCTGTTGTGAGTCATGTGGAAAGTACTGAAGAATTCTCTGGGGTAGTTAGGTGTTTGTAACAAAGACACACTCCTGAGCCATAATGTATTCAAATTCCATTTTTACTGGTGGTCCTCATCAAGCCTGTCATGAAAAAGTGACCATATGTTTACATGAGTGATTATTGGGATGTCTGTAGCTTGAATATGCTGGCCAAGTAAAAAGTCAGTTTTACTCATAGGATCTGAGATAGTTCAAAAGTGAACCCTGGTACAAGATTATAGAAACCATTGACAGCTTTCCAGACATTTGATTACTTTAAAGTGATTTGTTAAACAAAATAATTTTATGCTGACCTTTAAAAATAAAATAAGGGAGCATGAGGAGTCAGAGAACCTGCCATTGCATACTTAGAGTGATACTACGCAAGTTCCTAAATGTGCCTGTAAGGGTTAGAGTCCCCGTGGACTTTCACCGATCGTATTCGTTTTGTGACGATTGGGGAAAACACGCTGTACAGCCATGTGGAGGGAAGGGAGTGGACAAGATGACAGACACATTTCTCTTGAAGGTGATGAGGAATCATTGGGTAGATTTTAGAGATGAGACTGTTGAGATCACCTGGATCAATGTCTTCAGTTTACAGATAAGAATTCTTATGCCAAGACAGAGTAACTGTTAAAATATTTGCTGAACTTAATGGACTTAGCAGAAATTAATAGCCACTGAAAAGATCACTATCTGTGTTCACATCGACTGTCCAGGCTTGCATCTCTGCGCAGAGCCTTTCGCTATAACACGGATGTTACTTTAGGTTTTATTTCCTAAGGAATCTTCTTCATGCATGAGAAAAGCATGACTGGCCAGTAATGCTAAGTACCTATTCTGTGCAGGAAGATAATGACTACAAATCATCAATTCACTCTGTGTTAATATCGACTGTGTAATTAAGGTCTTGCTCAAAAAGAGGGGAAGAGGAATTTTGTGTCTGTATACCTCAAGAATATTTTCCACTATTTGAAATAGAATTACATTATTGTCAAGAAAGACAAGGCAGCATTTATCACCTACTTAGTTTCGTTCTCCCACTAACTACCAGCATTCCTTTAAGTTGCTTAACTTCCATTATCTATAAAATGGAAATAATATTTTCTTGCCTTCCACAAATTATGTAATAATTTATAATTCAAACTAAATAATTAATAGGAAAAGAATTAAAATGCACGATATTATTTAAAATGTTTGCTTTCAATAAAACTTTAAAGTAGAACCTTAAGGTATGAATCCATAAAGATATTACTGTAGGAGAAATAAATTCCCCAGATATCTAAGGACATCTATTCTGCTTTCTTTAGAGGGTCCATATCTATAATGAGTTGATATGTTTTATTCTTCCAATAAATTAATACCATGGTACATATTTTGATAAATGATAAATTAGTAAATAAACCATGACAAGACTTTTCACAAGAAAAACTGAGTGAATGATAAGATTTTTTTATTTCTTAAAGTTGTATGTAGATTATAGGAGATTTTATTCGATTTGTCATCTCGGCCATGTAATCTCATGGCTGAACCAAGTATAGAAGGATTCAGAGAATACGTTATAGAAGGTTGCAGAAAATATCAGAAATACTTCTTACTCTATACTTACCTCTGTCCTTTCTTCTGAGTTCCAAATTCGTAGGACCAATTGTCTAACTGAAACATCTATTGTATCTCCAGATCTCAAAAAGACAACTCTTTTTTCCTCTAAATCTGCTTGTCCTGTAGTTTATCCTGTCTCAGAAAATGAGCCCTCAGTCCACCAGTTGCTCAATTCACTTCCCTCTCTTTCTTCCACCTGAAGTCCTACCTACAACGACCAAGTCCTGTTGATTCCAGCAACTGAGTATGTCTGGGGATCTGAGCTAGGATATTGGCAGAGGGAAATGAAAGGAAGAAAAAGAGTTTGAGGCAAATTTTCAAATAAACAGATGATGCTTGGCAACAAACCAAATTAGAGCAGTAGGAAGAAACAAGTGAATCAAAGAATTAAACTTAGTTTACAGAAGCAGAAAGTTTGTCAGGGCAGCTCGGATGAGGGGAAGGTGCCAACCCAGGACTTGCACAGATCTGGCTTGAGATGCGGGCAGTGCTCAACTGGAAATTCAATAGGCAGCTGGTGAGAACACGTGGTGGACTGAGTGGATATCAAGAGACGAGACCCAGAAGCCTAAGGTCATAGTCAAAGTCTCAAGAACCACTGAGCTTTTTGAAGGGAAAAAAATGGAAAAAAAAAAGTGAATCGTAAGATGTTGAAACTTGAGGGGCATCAGAAAGAAAAGGAGCCGTTGTAAGTTACAGAAAACAGTTGTTTGAGAGAAGAAGTAGGAAGCAATCAGAGAAGTGTTTTTAAATCTGCAGAGGCAAGAATGAATACTGTTTGTATGGTCTTAAATAAGCAAAGAAAAAATCCTAATAGGGTTCATATGATTAGAGGAACATAAACGCTGGAAATTCGAGTGACTCTTCCATTTATTTGTTTGAAACCAAAATGTTAAATCTCTCATGAGATATGTCCTAGAAATAAGCCAGCTTACTACTGACTTACTCTTTACTCTCTCCAATGAATAGGTAATGTGAAGTTGATTCTTATGGCTCATGTCTTTATTTATAAAAGTGATAAGTATAAATTATGTGTGTGTATGGACACATGCACATAAAATTAATATTTAGTCATTTATTCAGTGCCTGCCTTGTGTCAATACAGTGCTAATTGTTTTGTACACATTATTTCATTTAATTCTCGCAGTTACCTTTGAGGTGGGTGTTATTAACCTGAGAGGAACGAGACAACACTCCTTAAGTAACTTAACTAAGGTCAGGATGCTGGCAAAAGTCGGAAACAAGAACTAATTCAGATGTTTGATTTTGACGCCTGTGCTGTTGAACAGAGTTTAATTTTATCCTAAAAGTATATAGTATGTAGTCATTTGCCTAGGTTGCCGGGCAATATAATGCTGTGTTAGTAAAGATTTTTAAAAAAGTGCTCACTTTAGCTATACCTTGAGTAAGAAAATTCTCCAGATTTTGGAAGTTGCCTGCATTTAGCTAGTTGACATTTTAAAAAGTCATCTAAACAATATCTGCCCCATAGAAATCATGCAGAATTTCTGGAACGAATGAACTGATGAGTGAATACTAGATTGTAACAGAAAACTGCCTTCATCTTATAAGCCTAAATTTATAAGTGTATGAGAATTATTCCATCTATTCTTCATTGAATCAGAAGTGTTCTAATTCCATTTTCAGTAGATTGCCAACTTCTATTTTAAGCCTCGTCAGAGAGCCTGTTGTCAAGATACTCTAGGGGCTAAAACCTATAGCTCAAGGCCAAAAAAGATTCCCAGTTGTTGACCAGACAACATAAAGTGGGTCTTCTTAACTCCTTGGAATCAGGGTTCGCTTGTGAGATAAGCATCCAGATGTAACAGGAGTAGTTAAAAAGCTTTCCTGCTTTGGCCTCCTGGGTATGAATCTTTTTGAGGTAGGGTTTCCATGGGTGTTTGTAGAATGCCATCTTTCCCGTTTAAGCTGCCAGAGAAATGTCATTTCATTCGGTGCTCACCCCAAATGAGAATATAAGGAAGCTGGAACTGGGCACACGTCAGTGAGTGGAAGGGGAATTAAGGTTGTGAGAATGAACTAATGACTATTTGAGCGAAATGTCAGAGAAAACAGTGAGGAAACAAGCTCTTGGCAATACTCTGAGACCGCAATGGTAAAGGAGATTTATTGCATTCAGTAAATTATGAGGAACATTTTCTAAATAATTAGCAGTCTTCCCATTGATACATTGCCTCGACTGAACAGTGGCTTTGGAATGCCAAAGATTATTGATTATTTTAAATACTTTGTCCAAAGTGATGTCTTTATATCTATGTCTTTTGTTCTCCATCAGCAGCAAATTTTTATTGTGGTGTGCTTTCTCTCTCTCTCTATGTATATCTATCTATCTATCTATCTATCTATCTATCTATCTATCTATCTATATATATTTCAAATGGTTGAAATAGCTGATCATAAATTTAGGCACAAGAGAAATTGTAGAGCTTGAATTGTCCAGAAGTTTGATTTATATCAGCACTACATTTTCTTTTTCTTTTCTGATAATTTTCCTTTGCACTTATTCAAGATTTTGATACAGAAAAAAAAAAACAGTCAAAAAACTCAAACTAACCCACAGAGAGTCCTGGTTCTTGTAGAACAGAAGGTGGTTTAACTTAAAACGTTTTTTAAATTTCTTCTTCCTTCATTCCACTTTCTTGTCTGGCCTTTCACGTGAGCTGACCTGCGCATCCCCCCAGGACTGCGCCTTCTGGTCTGAGTCTCTTCCTTTAATTCCTTCTCTGTCTTGGTTCTGTAGACCTTGTTTTCTGACCGATAATTTATAAAATAATAGATTTTGTGTCAATAGGTGCTCTTACCTAAGTTATTTGCCTTTTAACATAACTTCGTGGGGCTTTAAGGAAAATGAGTCTTTGGCCTCTGGGAGTAGTCAATAAGATCTTTGAGACCCAAGAGGGGGTGACTGTTTAATGCCAAGGAGTCAACATTGTGATTAATTTTGTGATGGCGAAGATGTTATTTTATCCTTTCTTTCCAATATTAAAAGAAGTAGAATGCATTACACTGTGTTCTCCTGACCATGGCCATCTGATAAAACAGTTCAGCGTGATGAAACTGTATGACAGCTGTCGGACCGATCTCCTGGAATAATAATTATAAAGATATTTTATTCTGACCAGTTTTCTATTGTTTCTCATTAACTCTAAGATCCTTAAAACTTTGAAAATGGGTATAGTTATGCTACAAATTAGAAATATAAATATCTAACAATTTTTGTATGTATTTGAGATAAAAATTTAAAAAAAGAAAATTTCATAAAGTCTTGTAAGAATAACCCTCTATTGTTGCATTTCTTTTCAGCTGTGTCCTGTGGAATCCCAGAGTCCCCAGGGAATGGTTCCTTTACGGGTAATGAGTTCACTCTGGATAGTAAAGTGATCTACGAATGTAATGAGGGCTTTAAGCTTGCGGCTAGTCAGCAAGCAACAGCGGTGTGTCAAGAAGATGGATTGTGGAGTAACAAAGGGAGGCCTCCCACGTGTAAACGTGAGTGTCCAAATGTATTTGCCTGTCTTTGCAGATGTAACTAGGAACAGAGTTCGTGGGGAGAACTCTGGATTCCAGTGTGCTGAGGTCCTCTGCCACAGCATTTGAGTGCTTGGTCTCACATCAGGCTAATAGGAAAACCAATTTATTCCATATAAGCCCTGCACTGTTGGAAGTTGGGCAGATAGAAAGAATCGTGTTGGTTCCATCAGTATCTAAACCATGTGATTCATATGGCAAATCCTGACGATGCTGCCATTTTCAATTTGGAGAGATGAAATGGAGAAGATATTGAGACATTAAGCCTGGAAATAGCATTCTACACAAAATATTAAAATATAATTCAATACAAGTTTCCTATTCATCTTCCATCTCATTTAAGTTCCTTGAAGTTAAAGGCAGTGCCTAGTGTATTTGAGTATCACCTGCTCTGCACAGAGCATTGATGCTCAACAAATAAGTCACTGATCTGTGAAGTGGGGTAAGTTTTCTGGAAAGCTGTTTACAGTAAATAGTAATATTCTTATAAGAGTCAAAAGTTAGGGTCCATTCTAGGACTCTAGTCTTAGAAATAATAAAGTCCGTAACGCAAAGCCAAAGAGAACCAGACACACACACACACATACATACCTGCACACACACACAATTTACCTCAAGATTTTCATTGCTGCTATAATAAAAGTAGCTTCAAATTGGAAATTATCTAGCTTCTAAAAATTTGAAATTATATACTATTCCTACATATACAATAATATTCTTGCTCTTATGATATTTGCAAAATGGATCTGCATGGTCTTCGATTTGAAACTTCGTTTATTGACTTCTTTTTGTGTATAGTATTTTGGTTGTGATGAAATTATTTCATCTTCTTAGATACGAACATATACATTTTTACAGAAAATAATTCATTGCTCTCCATAGTTTTCATTTTCCTTGCTAACATTTTCATTTATTTTTATTGCTAGTAATTATTGCATTTCCTGAGAGTCAGTCAGGCACCACTGAGAAAGCATTATTGCTTCTTACTTATTTTCCATTTAATAAAATACTATTTGATTATAATTAAGTAATAGTACAGGAAGCTAGGATAATAAGATACATTAGCATGTTTTTAAGCTCAATTCTTAAGAAAATTATTCTCTCAAAATAAGACTTTAACCTCACAGAGGACAATAACACATATATAATTTGTGTTGCTTATAATAAGAACAATTTCCCAGGCATTTAAGATGTTATTCACTTTGCACGTGGCTTAGAGATCATTAATAATAATGTATGTCATTTTAGTGTCTATTAGGTGCTGTATGTTTCAAATAGCTTTTCTATAAATCTCCTAATAACTCTGAAAAGATAGGACGCAGATGACTTACAAAGGAAGTGTAAGCTACTAATTTGCAGAGTTGGGTTTGAATTCAACTTTCACTAGTTCTCAACCCTATGCCCTTTTCATTATCCTAGGGTTTCCCACTCTGGTTATATGTTAAAATTGTCTAGGGAGCTTTAAAAAACACCAATGTCCAGGTTTGACCCTCAGGCCTTCTGAATTACTGATCTTAAGTAGAAAATAGGCATCAGTATTTTTTTTTTTTAGTTCTCTGATACTATGCTTCAAGTGTCAAATACAGGCTGTGGTTTAAAGGAAGAGGCATTTTAAATTTGTATACTGTCTGAGAAAGACTTGACAAATGACAAGGTAGCTATGTAAATGTAATTTTTATTTTAACATTTTTAAAAAATACTTTAATTTTTAGAACAACTTTAGGTTCACAACAAAATTGAGCAGAAAGTACAGAGATTTCCAGAGTACCCCCTGCTGCCCCTGAAGAGCCTCCCCAACTATCAACACCTCCCACCAGCATGGTGCACTTGTTAAAATCCATGAACCTACACAGGCGCGTCATTGTCATACAAAGACTAGAGTTTACATTAGGGTTCTCTCTTTAGTGGTGTACATTCTCTGGGTTTGGACAAGAGGATAATGACATGTATCCACCATTAGTGTCACACAGAGTAATTTCACTGCCCTAAAAATCCCCTGTGCTCTGCCTATTCTCTGCCCCCCCCCCCCAACTCCCAGCAACCACTGATCTTTTTACTGTCCCCATAGTTTTGCCTTTTCTAGAATGTCATGTAACTGGAATCATTCAGTGTGTGGCCTTTTCAGATTGTTTTCTTTCACTTAGTCATCTGCCGTTAAGGCTCCTCCATGTCTTTTCATGGCTTGATAGCTCATTTTTTTTTAGCACTGACTAACATTCCATTGTCTGGATCGACCACAGTTTATTTATCCGTTCACCTACTGAAAGACATCTGCGTTGCTTCCAAGTTTTGGCCATTATGAATAAAGCTGCTCTAAACATTCATGTGCAGGTTTTTCTGTGCACGTAAATTTTCAACGTTTTTGGGTAAATAGCAATACTAACATGATTGTTGGATCATATGATGTGCTAGGAGTATGTTTAGTTTTGTAAGAAACCACCAAAATGTCTTCTAAAGTGGCTGCACCATTTTGCATACCCACCACCAGTGAATGAGAGTTCCTGACGTTCCACATCCTCGCCAGCATTTGGTGATGTTAGCGTTTTGGATTTTAGCCATTTAATAGGTGTGTAGTGGTATCTCGTTGTTTTAATTTGCATTTCCCTGATGGCATATGATGTGGGACATCTTTCGTGTGCTTATTTGCCATATATCTGCCTTCTTTGGTGAAGTTTCTATTCAGGTCTTCTGCCCTTTTTTAATCAGGATGTTCATTTTCTTATTGTTGAGTTTTAAAAGTTCTTTGTATATTTTGGATAATAGTTCTTTATCAGATATGTCTTTTGTAAATATTTTCTCCCAGTCTTTGGCTTATCTCCTCATTCTCTAACAGTGTCATTTGCAGAGCAGAAATTTTTAATTTTAATGAAGTACAACTTATTAATTCTTTCTTTCATGGGACATGCCTTTGGTGTCATACTTAAAAATTTATCCCTAAAACCAAAGTCACCTGGATTTTCTCCTATGTTATCTTCTAGGAGTATTATGCCTTACTTTTGGGTCTTTGATACATTTCAAATTAATTTCTGTGAAGGGTGGGATCTATGCTATATTCTCTCTTGAGGGTGGACGCCCTGTTGTTCCAGCACCATTCGTTGAAAGGCTGTCTTTTCTCCATTTATATTGCCTATGCTCCTTTGTCAAAGATCAACCAACTATGTTTTTGGGAGTCAATTATTTCTGGATTCCCTATTCTTTTCTGTAGATCTATGTGTTTATTCTTTTGCCCATGCCAGACTATCTTCTCACTTCTATTTTTATTTGGCTAAACCAAAATGTGATAAAATGATACTTTTTTTCAAAATGTATTTAATATGAATTCAATAATTTGGAAACAATTAAAAGAGCATTTTCCAGTTTCCTACAAAATTAATCTTGTTTTTGGTTGTAGATATTTCCAGGGACATATTTGATTTTAGTAAAAATGCCCTGGTGGACATGAATACTTCTATTATCTTTAAAGCTATATGGGAATCATTTTGCCTGAGGATAATCGAGCTCAATGGGGACCACAGACACATAGTCTCAGTAGCATTTTATTTTAAGGGTGCCTCCAGTCTGTGCCTCTCACTTCACAGGTTGATGAAGTGAGCAAGAACCTTCCACCTGTCACTGTGATGTTGAATTGCTTCTTCCTGAGCATGTGCAGGACAGAATGCCTTCACAGTGGAAATGCAAACTATTTTATGTCTCCATGAGCCATATATATGAGTTAAGGCCATACCTCATTGGGTTAAGCAATTATGCATACTCAAATTTTTAGCTCTGCTTTCCAGCTTGGTCCCTAGAATGCCAATGCAAGTGGTTTATATCCACTAAAAAGTGGATTGAAATCATATAACTCCAATGTAAAAAGCAACTATGGGAGAATTATGAGGAAAAGCAGCACAGCATAGCTCTTTCAGTCCTTAGCTGGGGGTAGAGAAAGAGAGAAGCAGGGAGTTTCAGAAAGAGGGAAGCAGACAAAATGCTTGAATGCTGTGGAGAAAGTGTGTGAGATAACTCCTGTGGGCACAGGGAGCCAGAGAAATTCCTCACACCGGGAGGTGCAGCGTACGCCCGATGCGTTCACCCAGCATCCAGTGAATGTGCACTCTGTGCCGGACATCGGGCCCACAACCACCGGCGTGTAAAGGTTGATGGGACACAGCCCTGCCCTTGGAACCTGCACACGTGCACAGGACCTTAGACTAATGGCTCAGTAGAAATCATAGTAGAAGAGATAACTGATGGAGATGAGGTAAGACGAGTGTTCAGCCTAGGATCAGTCTTCACAGAAGAGATGGCAGTCTGGCTGGGACTGCAGCTTAGTCTGTGAAGTAATAGTAATAATTGGGACCATTTTTTTGAATGATAACTCTCAATATTTTACCTCATTAAACATTTGTCTGTGTTACATCATTTGTTTATAATGACAATCCTATGGAGAAGGCATTGTTTCCCTTATCTTACCAATTTAATAAAAAGCAAAGAACTTAACTTTACTACTCATCATAAAAACACCTGAGAAGTGTCTCATTGTAGCGACACCACCTTGTTGGAGGTCCCCTGCTGCCACAGGTAAAGCTGTTGGATGACCGTTTGGTACCATGTGAATGCTTTGGGCATCATGAGAACACAGTGATGTGTAACGTCCCCATGATCTGCCTGGGGATGCCCTGCACCTCGCTGCAGCATGTATTCAAGGCTCTGTGCATTCTACTAGCCTGTAAATATTAAGTATTAAACTGGTTCCGTGATAAGTGGGGGCAAGTATGAGGAGAGATGATGTGAGAGTCTCAAAGCTCTGAGCGATGCCTAGAAACAGGAGCAAAAAGAAGAAACAGAAGTGTAGGAGCAGAAACCAGGCTGTGAGTCTAAAAATGCACCCAGCTGCCCACAATCAGGTGGAAGGGAACTCAGAATAGCCATCTGGACATTCTCCTCCGTCCTTCCTCCATTCTCTCTTCCTCTCCTCCCAC